TTTTTTTTTTTTTTTTTTTTTTTTTTTCCTTCCTCTCCGTTTCTCCACCGCTCGCACCAAGTAGACCTTTGGGATTTCCGGCGCGCGCGTACGCACGCGCGTCACCATCGGGAAAAACTCGCGGAAAAAGTCGTGGAAAAACTCACGACCGAAAAGGATCGATCGCAAAAAGCGTCATAATGAACCGTGATGCCGCGATTTCTTGCTGGAAACCCTGTTCCCCGACCGACCCATTATCGATGCTTTGTGTCCAGGAACGGACCAAAATTGCGGACAAATCTTCGAGGATTATCGGAGTGATGAGGTAAAAAGTAAGCGGCAAAAATTTTTTAACCTTCTTTCTCCTTCGAAGGGGAGAAGTACTTATGATCGTTAAAAAGAAAATAGAAGGATTCGAAAAAAAGGAAGGAAGGAAGAAAAGAAAGCGAGATCGTTTGAATAATACGTGTCAAGCGATCGAAGAAGAATGATCGAAAAATTTGCTCCACGGTGAGAGAGGGAGAGAGAGAGAAAAAAAAATCCCCTTTTCGTTGCAGCGCGATTATCGAATCCTTGGAAAGATCAGAGCGAGATCGAGCGCGGAACGAGCGAGAAGGTGGGAGGCCGTGTCGATATTGAAACGGTGGAAAACAGAGGAAACACAGACGGGCTGACCGATCGGCATGCTCTCCGGTATTTCGCTCTGGTTGCGAACCAATTGCTCTATGGTTTCGCGAGCCGAAAAAAATCGACTATTCATGCATAACACCGATAAAATCTGAAAGCTGCTAAAAGCGCGCGCGATCGTATCGCCCAATAATGTCGTTTCCCTACCGGCAAAATACACAGAGGCGCATTTAAAACCGACTTCACAGTAATTTGACAATCTGACTAAAAGAAGTCCGATACTTTAATAGGGAATAATTCGAAGCGAATTCGAATTCGTATCTACATGAGAGGAGGGAAGAGATCGGTTTGGAGAAAAGTTTAACGTTGAAATTAATCGTCGAGAATTTGTTCTTAAGAACGCACAAAAAAAAAAAAAAAACGATCTTTTATTTTTCCTATCCTCGAGCAAATTCCACGTTCAACTCGTCTTTAATTTACAAGCCTACCCCTGATATAGCCCGACGATCGTTGCCGATACGCGTGTCTGGGAAGGGAGGGGGAAAGATTGAAAGAAGAATGAACGAGAGCGGAGAGAGAGGAGAAGGAAGTTTTGAAAAGAAGTTGTGGAAAAAAAGGAGCGAAGAGGGTAAATCTGCGTAATTACCCTCGATTTCAAGACCGTTGCGAAATTCAGTGGTTCCGGCCAGGCTGCGTTCACCGGGAGGGAAAAAGATATCCAAAGATAGGATCTGAAAGCTGCTGAAAGCGCGCGATCGTATCGGCCGGTAATGCGATCCCCCAGCGACATAATGGCGCAAAACCTGGCCCCCATTGTTAGCCCCGGGGCTCAGCGGCGCATTCCTTGGCCAGGATGTGCTCTCGATTTTCTCGGATATCGTATAATGTGGCTTATGCCCCCGGCGGGGGAAACAGAGGGAGGACAGGGAGGAGATCCGGCGATTTAGTGTGCGCGTCTCGAGAGAAAGGAAAAACTGTGCTCGATAGTTGGAGTAGGTGTATCCTCCAGCAAATCTATTATTACTGTTCGGAACAACTAAGGGTTACATTGAAAGAAAAATAAAAAAAAAAGTTCTTGTTTTTTTATTTCTTTTTATTTCCTTTTTTATCTTCATATATCTCTTGATACGATGATGATCGTGAGATTGACGATTGGATAGACGATTGGAAAAATATTTTTATGCAAGTGAAATTTTTATTGCAAATATTACGATCGATCCGGAGATTGCAGTGAATTTTAAATTATTTTCAACGACGAAATAAAAATTGACGATCTGTTATGAATAAAAGTTTGAAAATTTTGAACTTTGAGAGAGAAATTTAAAAATGTGCATAACGATAATTTTTATGCGTTTAAACTGCCGGATGAAGACCCTAGTGATATCTTAGGGCAAAACGGAAACTACCTATTTGGATCCGCTTTCTACCGGTAAGGCAACGTTCAAGTTTCAGTTACCTACTATATCAATGGGGAGTGAAATTAAAATTTCATATAAAATTGAAAATTTAATGAATTATAAAATTATATATCAATTTATAAAATTAATATGTTAAAAAATTAATAAATTACTGACGAAATATTGAAATTTCAATATTTCAAATAAAAATATTCATTTTCTTACCCGTTAGATACAGCCGATATAACTTTACCCATCAAGCTACGCTTACCAAATGGGGAAAAAACAGTTTTGATTCGAATTGTTCACCTTATCGTTTATACGTTTCCAAACTACGCGTATTCGATTCCCAATAAATTAAAATCGTGCAAGAATTTTATATTTTATACAAATTAATATGAATATTTTCGAATATTTAAAATATGCGTGTTTTATTCGTATATATCGGTATGTTTTATCATGTAAAAATTAGAATTACATGATAACACGATGTTATCTACGAACGATATAATTTTTTTAGTAAGTAAATTATTTTTTAAATAAATATAAATACTTTATTTTATGATTTGTTGTATATCGCGCGATAATTTATTTATTAATTTTTGCTATTTCGATTTTTAATAAATTTAATTCGAAATATTATATTTTAAACTTTTAAATATGTCAATTATAACAATTTATAATAAAAAAGAAACGCGATATTTTATAATTCTGCAACATTAATTGGAACGCGACATTAATTCAATTAATTTTTCACGATTAATAAAGAACCGAAATTATTTTATTTTAATTGAACATGTAATTAATCAATCGAAACACATACAAAATTGTAATGATAAACCAACCAAAATTGTAATGATAAACCACATATATAAATCGAAAAATATTACAAACTAAAATGAACATAATAAAAAAATGATTTGCCATTATATATAATTACGAATATTAAAACGCAATATGAAAAATAAGAAAACTTATTCTTTTTTAATAAATACAAAAAAAAAAATTCATGGTAATAAATATCACCAATTATTGTATGTGTTTGTATAAAATTTTATATATGAAAGCAATCATTCGTGTCGATTCGGATCTTTTCTATAACGACATGATTGACAGGAGAAATAAAAATACATGGGACTCACCATTAGATGCGAAAAATATTGCCATTGATACTGCAATGTACATCGAGAAATCATCGAGTGAATCATTGAAGGTTGAAAAATATCTGCAACAAAACATACAACATCATAATTAAAAACACAATTTATTTAAAAATAAAAAAAATTATTTAAAAATATTGAAATAATGAAAGATAAAATATCATATGTGCAATACAATATTAATAAAAATTGAAATTCTAATAAAATAAAAGAATTATAAAAAAATTGGAATCTTGATATAAATATTTAAATGAAAAAAAGATAATTATTTAATAATTGAATCTTTGAATAATTGATAATCATTTTCTCGATGCACTAATTTTAACGTGTATCAAAAATAACTATTAATAAAAAATAAAATAAAATAAAATAAAAGACTATCGATGCATCCGTTACAATCATTGAACAATTATTGATTCTAATTTTATATATAACTAATGCGATTAAATTTTCTTCATATTTTTCAAAGCTATTATGTTCTAAAAAATTACGTAGTTATATTATTACTGTTACGTAGTAAACACTGAATCTATCAACCGTTTTGCACGCGGTCACAACAATTCTTTGAAAGTGAAATATATTAGTAGAGTAGTGGAGTGGGATAGAAAAACATTACACCGCAATTGCGTCGAAATATGTTTATGAAAACAAAACAAGTTGACAACAAGATTATGTTCTATAAGCAATTTTTGACCAAAACATAGAAGAAAACTAACCAATTTCTTATTTAAATATTACATTTTTAGAATAATTATTATTAAATATCAGTCATATAAATTACTTTAAATTTATGTATATCAATTATATATTAAATATATAATTATATTATATATTTTATTTTAATATAAATTATATAAATTATAATTAATATAATTAATATAAATTATAATTATTAATTATATATTAAATATATAATTGATATAATTATTATTAGTAGTCTAAAAAAAAATCATACATATATATGTATATATGTATGTATATTTTTATATTTTAATGGAAATTAAAAATTATCCTGTGTTCACGAAAACCAAAATTGATTATTTCAATTGATTCATCATTGATTTATTATTCATCATGGCGTCCATATTTTAAATTGGCATCCTTTTTCTTCAAATATAGTTATAAGCAATCAATAATTTGTATAAAAGAAAACCACAAATTTGAAAACTTTGAATATATAAAACTATAATCAATTATAACAAAATAAAATAATAATTAAAGTCAAATTTTGTTTGAAAAGTTCATAATACAAATCATTGATAACCCTAAAAATCAAATTAGACAACTAACAACAAACTAACAAATAAATAATAATAAAACTATTAAATTTTGTTATAATAATCCTTAATAAATAATTAAATAAACTTAAATAAGAATAATAATACCTATAAACGGTAACAGGAACGTAGTAGAAACATATTACGCAGTTGAAATTGTTTTCGTTTCGCGGAGCGACACGTCTTATCGCCACGAATTCTATCGGCAGAGTGATGCGTGGCGCCCGTATGGAGTTCTGTTTGGTTGGAGTAATACAATATTCCCGCTAAATTCAAAATCGTGTAGAAAATTAAAATATTATTTATTATAAAAATTTTTCTCATTTAATCAATGAAATATAAATATTTTTATCAGAAGACCATAAAAAATATTTAATGTTTTGATTTTTACACGATAAAATATGTATAAACTATGTATAAATATATATATATATATTATATAAGCAATAAAAATATTTTAAGAAATATTTTCAAAATAATCGTGTAGAATGATTTCAACTAATTTTATTTATTAATTATTACTGATAATGATAAATTAAATTTCTAAAAATTTATAATATGTAAAAGTTAAATTTCTTCTTGTTATCGATATAAATGATAAAAAAAAAAAACATTTAACATTATTCTTATCTTATTAATTCAAGTTCTAATTAAAACTTTATTTAATTTATTTAAGCTAAAACTTAATATTAATAATAATCTAACAAAGAATTAGATAATTAATTTCTATTTTAAATATTATTTTAAATATTATTAAAATGCTATTTAAAACTTTCTAAAGGATATGTATATTCCAAAAGATAATAAAAAAAATATATTTCATATATTACTAACTTTTTCTTTATGCATAACGAAATCCTGTTATGGAGTTGGAATCTAGTTACTGATTGTACTTAATGCGTATACGATCCATTTCCAAATTAGACCAAATTCATTTAATGTTCTGTTCGGATGTTTTTAATTTACGCTTTCCCGTTGGAACGAGTGATAAAGCTGGTGCTTTAAAGCTCGTTTTCCCCAACATAAAGCGTATGAGAACAGAATAGGAAGGGTATGTCTCACATCTGTATTGTTATCCTTTTGATGTCCTCCTCAAAGCTGGACCACATCGGGCTTTTACTCCCGTTTAGTAAGTGCAGGGAGGTAACGATAAATTTCTAATAATATAGTTCCATAATTTATTGTCCTCTATAATCAAATTATTATATTTCAATCTAATGTACTTGCTCTATTTTTATTAAATTATTTGATTTATTTTTGTTTTGATATTTGAAGATGCGAAAATACATTCTATTTTCTATTTTTACAAAAAATAAAATAAAAGTACGTATAAATAAAAAATCAACAAATTTTTATATATATTGTGCGAAATATATTTATATTATTATATGTTATTTTATTAAAACGTATTGAAAATTTAGAAGAAAATTGGATTCAAAAATCTTTAAAAACTATTTCAAATATACTTTCTCTAAAGATATTAGATAAAACGGATGGTCGAAATACCAAATATAATTTATCGAAGACTGAGAATCAAGAGCCATCCCTGTATCCTCGGAATCTAGAATACTGTGGACACTAGAGAGAGGTAGTCGCACAGGGGGTTTATTAAGCTTATTAACGGACTATACAAGGGTGGACGTACATATCTACGCCGGTGGTCGTGGAAAGTATGGGCAGCTAAAAGGGGTGCAAGGGTGGAAGATAATGGTACATGTATGTGTTGTACCTTCATTCGTTTCATATAGCAGAAGTCGAGATTTCGGCTTGTCATACCTATAATTATCACTTCCCTTTGCGTTATTTCCTGTCCCGTATAGTTAATTTCTACCTTACTTCGACCTATTAAATCACGGATTTAAACTAATTATACGTATTAAAGGGAATGTAAACGATCACAACGAAATTTAAAATTATACAAATAATTTAAAAATTGTAATATTAATACCATATTTATATACTTTGTTTTTCTCATATTTTTCTTCGAATTTTATTCAAAGCACAATATATATATAACTTACACGCATACTATGATAACTATAAAAAAGAACAGCTGTTTGCCAAATTAAAAATATTATGATAATGATAATCGTACAGTCATTTGCCTTCTAAATCGACCCTTTTTCATATGCTTGTTATGTTCCTTGACTGCATCCCCTTTCTATAATCGCGTGGCCACCCCAGCGAGTATTATTAGCTGCACGCTTTGCAATTGGATTAACGGAAGCGAAATTGCATCGACGGAAACGGCATAGATTGTTTCGCATAGTCACGAAAGTCCACCACTTTTGCTTGTTTCATCTAATGGAAATACTAGTATCATGAAACAATTATCGTAGCGAATCAAAAAACAATTTTAAACTTTATGTATTATCAAAAGCGTTTCTATCGATTTGCGAGAACGATAAAAACTATTAAAGTTTTATTTCCTTCAATTGAGGATAAATTTGAATGATTGCGATAATACGCATTTCTAATTAAACTTCTAATTAAAAATAAAATATATATTATTGAGCAAAATATATATTGTCTGGTACTCAAACGATACGCGAATATAAGAACGAAGGGTTGAAGGAGCTAAGGATCCCAGATTTGGATTTTACAGAACAGAGGAAGAGAGGTCATCTAATCGTGTCCCTAGTCCTGATTTAGGGCGGGATTTTAATTACGAAGGGTCAGTAAGTGTGGCTGTCCACTTGCCGTAAGTATTTCTCCCTTATTTATAGTTCATTAGCTCGGCTTTTGCGCGAAAGGCAGATTAATTTACATCTGGTTGTACGACCCCTACTTTGAAATAAAATTTCACTCTGACCCTTATAATAAAAAGATCCTCGCAAAATATTGATAAAGTTTCATCCAATATTTTCAAAAATTTAAAGTTAAAATTTAACATTACATCAAGATACATTAGTTATCAAGATATTTGTGAATTTGAAAAAAATATTCTAATATTTTCATAATTATATAAGTACTTTTTACAAAATATTTCTGAATATAATTTTTAGGCTTAAAGGAACGTGATCTCTAAACTAAAGATGATTAACGAGGTTGAACGTATCGCATTATTGTCGATTACCAAAAACAGGATGCTATTAAAGGAAAGTCCTTTCTATAACGAGACACTTTTTCTGAGAATCAAACTATCGATAAGCATGTCTTACGAAGCCCTTCCGGTGGCGCTGGAAGTCACTCGTTTCCGAGCGATATCGTCATCCTGATAAAAAGCGTAAAAAAAAATGTTTCTGTTTTTCCCTCTATCGTTAATCTGTTATCTCGCTCACCTCGTTTCAAGATTTGTAATCTTATAATACTCGGAAAATAAATGTATTTTAATTAATAAAATTCTACTCTCTTTAAAAAAATCGATGCGATTGCTAATAAAATATGCCCCCTTATATCTATAAGATTATTACACGATTATATAAATAGAATTTTCTATTATAAGAAACAAATCAATCAAATTGAAGAGATAAATTGGAAATTAAAACAGTCAAATACGAGAAACAATCGAAATTACATCGTAATTATATGCAACACACGTGACAACTGCGATAGATCTGACCGGTGTCTTTCGCGTAAGTAATTGCGGTTTCACGACACGACACGCAGCCCGATTTTTGCGGTAGATCGGTGTGAACCGACAAAACCGATCGACGAGGTGTCCCTCGACCGCGCTTCTCGCTTTTAAAGACAGAGAGATAAGAAAACGCAGGTAAAATCGGCCACGGGTCAAAGCACCGTGCCACTTCCGAGAGGTTAATTACATTCTTGCGAGCTCCGCACGAACGAGTGAAACCGCATTTTGCTTCCTCGATTGCACTTTAGCAGACCACAGTGCAATAAACGGTAGCGTTGCGGGAACATGTTGGTGGAGACCTTTAAAGCACCTTATACTGTTTTTTCATGTATTACATATTCTGAGAAAATCCTTACCATCTGAACTATTCGCCACCAAATTCTTATCTTTCCAACGAAGATACAAATTAAGGAATATCGATGGATTTTGTTGGGTATCGAAGATTTTCTCAATAATTTCAAATGATGAATGGCTTCTTGAGGAATTGAGATTTTTTGAGGAATTTTTTCTGGATTTCTTCTAACTGGAAATTGAAAGAAGTAAGTTTTAATAAGGAAAGTTGTAAAGGATCATTATATGATATCATTAAGCAATAAAATTAGATCGAGTTTCGCTCAAAGAAAACCTTGCACCTTTATTAACAGTCTGGCGCCAGTTTACAGAAAAATATATCAAATATACAGTTCTATAAGTTCCACCTGGATTGCATTTTGCAATGGCTATCACAGGTAACAGCTTCCTACCTGGTGGAGTACAGGTTGGTGGGGGGTCACCGAACAAACTTCAAAAGAGAGGAAAAGAGATCGAGGGAGAGAAAAGGAGGAGGTTGAAAGTAGCGGTGGTACGAAGGAACAAAATCCCGAGGGTGGGGCAAACGATCCACGATACGGGAGAGCCCACCCCCACTTGCTCCCCCAATCACAGGCTCCGCCTCCAGAAAGCCGCGTGACGTCACACAGACACTTGTTACGCCTTGCTGAAGTACTGGATTATCACTTGGATCTTGCTAACCTGAAAAAATTATCCTTTTTAATCCCTATAAGTTGTATCTCAATAGTCCATCTATTTTTCTATTATCTATTTACCTTCAAAAATTGAAACACTTCGTTACTTTTTTTTTTTCATTTTCATTCGAATTTTTCGAATACTTCAATTCAAACATTATTTGAAACATTAGTATAAGCATTAAATATGACCACTGCAAAAAAAAAAAGAAAAACGATTTGAGATAGATTTGCTTGATTATGTTCCTGTATTGCCAGGACTTCTGAAAATATACATAAATATTATTTTCATATTACATGTAGGAATCGCAATCTTCGATTATCGGTATATTTAAGTAATCATTATTTCAAAAAAGGATAAAAGATTCCAACAACAATACGATTACGATATCGCAAGTGTTGAAAGATTGACTTGTTTTTGAAAATAATATGATAACATAGGAAATTTCGACGATACTACTTATTTTTTCCTTATCGGTGTTATAACTAACAAAAAGATTAGGTTATGACTAATTGCTATGAATTAGTTCGAACATCGAATATCATACTGTTATTTTATTTATACACACGTTTAAAATATATTAATAGTAATTGGTTGAATCAGGTTATGATCGAATATAAAATTAACTGCTTGAATATGGTAATAGATTTACAAATAGATACAATTATAGCCAGTAACTATGATGACACATAGGAATTCCCGTAAATTCAGTGTAGCAATGAAACATATTGCATTTACCTACCTTTCACGTTGTACGAATGGCCTTCAATGAAACTTTTTCTTCTACTATGTCGATAAAATTATTCTTATTTTTACATCAAAAGTTGAAACAACGAATCACTTTGCGATTAATCTAGTATCATATTATTGAACTTTTCTTTAAAAATTGAATTAGATAATTGTTTTTGAAACTAATTACAAATCGTATATATTTAATATCACTCTGTTCTTAAATCTATTAGATTCGTGTACACGCACAAATTAAAATAAATTATAATTTCGACTACAATAAACTACGAAACATGTGACTGGAAACGACGCCATTGTCTCTTATGCTCACTTCTAGAATCGCAATCATAGCTAGCGATTATCGAACGTCCAATCGATCGAGATCGTAATATTTTCTACCGGGCGTGGCGCTACTTAACCTTTTAGTTAACCTTAATTTGCGTGTCTCTATTCAATTAAGAAAAAAACATGACAAACCAAATATATCGACGAAGTAAATCATGTAACATTCAGTTTAATCGTATGATATAATCCAAGTTCCAAGTATTTGGACGTTGCTTAGAAATTCGTTGAAAATTAGCCACGCATTTTTTCTATCAAAATAACTTGTACAAATAAGCCGAGAAATATGAAAACACGGACACTGGTCACAAAACGAGTCCACACGATCGGAGGGCGGGCGATCTGACAGTGGGGATATGGGACTGTCGAAGCGCGGCGGGAGGACGATGTCGGGGGTGGGGAGCGTCGGAATGGCAAGGCTTAGGGTGCCCCGGGCCGCTTGCGCGGAACACGCGGCTGAAGCCGCGCCGCCGGCATTACGTCGCGCACCGTCGACCGCGACTGACGTTCCTATAGATATTTCTCATTTCCATTTTTTACCTCTACTTCGATATCCTGTGTTTAATCGATACAAGCAAATATTCGATCGTGTTTCTACACGGTATCGAATCTCGAATCGCGAATAAAGTGAAAGTTTATTTTCTAACCTGTCGTGCTAGAAAATCCGAAGTATTGACGCTGTTATTCGACAACCTGTAGGAGTTTCCAACTGCCAAAACGTGTTTACATCTTCGACAAGTGATTAAATTCAGAATAAATTAATAGATCGTGCATCGATCTAAAGATCACAGTGACATCTCGCGGACTAAAAGTGCAATAGAAGAGAAGAATAGTTTCTGATTGGACGTCAATATTGGATAATATTGGATAATATCGTCATGGCGGTGGCGGGAAGCTAATAGAGAATATATTCGTCATGGAATTCGACGACACTGACCATACTCTACATGCTTAAGAAGATAGGATGAACGTGTTGGTAAGTATCCTGGACATCCGTCGTGTGAACCAGAAGCGGAGAAGCAGTTGTTGGAGAAGAAGTTGCTGGTAGCAGCTATAGCAGAGGAAAGTCCGTGGAGTGCACAGATCGAGAAGGCAAGTGAAATCACGACGTCTTGTCCGGAGGGTACGTGCTTGGGCGACGAGGGGCGGCAACTGGCCGATGGGATGCATCTACCGGTGGGTTCCGTGGGTTGCGGGGAGAATTACGCCACCGTTGGATCCCACGAAGGCGCCGGTCCGTGCGGCCCCTCACTGGCGCCTCTTCAGGGGGTAAACACCAGGTACCAGCAGGCCGACGACGCCGACGCCGGGGGAGGTGGTGGCGAAATGAGCGAGGGTGCCGCCGTCGGCGAGCTTTGGTGGACCGAAAGACTCGTCGGCGAGGCACAAGCTGAACATCCTGGTGAATTAGTTCGAACAGGTTCGTATTCCTTCTAATATGGCTACCGAAAAAAGGTATCGTTGATTGGTCGAAACGTTTGACGTCATTTTCAATTCGAGCGAGCGGGAAAGCGGCGTATAGAATGGAAATTTCGTCGCAACGCGAATTCATCACGCGAATTAAGAAAGAACGATAACATTTTTAAAAAGTTTTCAAGTATCGCTTTTCGTAGATTTTTCGTAGAGAAGAAAAGTGATAAACATTTGTCATAGTTTGTGATAAGAATATAGTTACGATATTAATTTTTGAACAAGTATAAAAAAAGTAGGTTAAAAAAGTAAGGTTAGGTATCTATACATCATTAGTCGTATATCTCTATTTCTATTCTCTCAACAAAAACGTTGAACGTTTTTATATTTTTACAGGATCACCATATTTTCTCTGCAGTCAATTGCCAACACATTGGAGATCCAACAAAACGCTTCCAGTTGCGTTCAAAGTTGTCGCTCTGGGCGAAGTCGTCGATGGAACATTGGTGACAGTACGAGCGGGTAATGATGAAAACTGTTGCGCCGAACTAAGGAATTCCACCACGTTGATGAAGAACCAAGTCGCCAAATTCAACGATTTAAGGTTCGTCGGAAGAAGTGGTAGGGGTAAGTGTTTAAAATAATTATTCGTTTATTATTAAAATTATTACTCGTTTTACTTTGATACCCAATAATAATTATTTATTACTGGGTATCAAAGGCATACTATTTCCTTCTTCTTTTCCTCATTCTAAAATAAACAAATTACAAAATAGGCAAAACATATATATTTGATTAATTTTGCTTTATGCTGTTACATTGTTACACAACGGCGACACAAAAAGTTAAAGTTAAACATAAACATTTTGTAACAAAGTATTATATCTATTTTAAAAGTTATTAGAATCGGATTTCAATCCGAAGATATTCAATTCGATGATCAAAGCTCGAGACAAGCCATTAAACGAGCCAATAGAGATAGTTAGTTTTGAGGTTTCGAGTGTCATCGTCAGTGGCATGTCGCTTTGTAAGTCGTTGAAAAAGCAGCCAGTAAATTATCTGTACAAGAGAGGCACGTACCGTGATTTCGAACCCCCTAAAAGCACGGTTATTGTAATCATCATCGTCATCAACTGGCCTCAACCCCGCTTGACTCGTCTCTCGCTTTTAAACCCTCCGCATCCGCGAGTTCCCTCGCATCCCGCCGCCCCCAGAGTCATTACTCGATGTCCGCCGGTAGCCCCGACCTAGCATCCGAAACAACTGGCCGTTAATCAGAAATCATCGTTCGTCGGCCGGAGAGGAAGGGGCTAAGTCTCGAAAATCAAGCGAATCCGTTCGATGTTCGCGTTTTTTCTCGAAAAGAAAAAAAAAAAAAAAAAAAAAGAAAAAAGGAAAAATAAAGAAGAATATAAAAATCCAATCCATCCGGAAACGAGTGTAAAGAAAGGCGAGGCGGCGAGGGCCGCGTTTTAATTAGCGAGCGTAAATATCTTGTTTTACGTTATTTGCGCGTTATTAGTTAATTCACACTTGGCGAAACCGCAATCGTTAAACTGCTTTAAAAGGTATAGATTAAGCTTGAATACAGAAATTAAATCGCGCTGGCCGCGAACAAAGTTACACGTATCAACCGGGGCTTTTAATAAATGATTTCCAAACGAATCGATCGACCGACAGCTTTTTAAATAATTCGTTTTTGCGCCGATTAAGTCGTAGATTTGCGTGCGGCACGTCGATCAGCTACGATTATCTACGGGCCGCCAGGTGAACCCATCCGGTCCTACAAATGCATTTTGCACCCCACGCATCGTACGATGCATTTATGAATTAACGAGCCGGACTGCTCGCGTTGGAACTGCACGTCCGTCGATAGCATCATCTATGTTTCATTCCATTTCATCATGAAGTGCAGGGTCAGCGAGGTTCCATCCACCTCCTGACACCGGATACGCTATCCCCGAAATCAATTAGCGAAAGGGACACGTCCCTCGCCGAAATCCTTCGATCCCTTTGTCCAGTTTTTGGTATTTTTTTTTTTTTGTTTTTCCTGTTTTTTTTTGTTTTTTTTTTTTTTTGTTTTTCCTGTTTTTTTTTTTTTTTTTTTTTTTCCTGTTTTTTTTTGTTTTTTTTTTTTTTTCCCTGTTTCACTATCTCTCCTCGATAATCCGTAATACTCAATTTCGACGATTGACCAAACCACCCTCGTACCAGCCGCGACCGGCCAGTCGACCTATCCTCCTATCATCGAGATTTTGTTTCCGCGACTTATTAATTTGATTGAATCCTACCGCACCGCTTCGATTCCCCTCGATATTGCCGATTCGTCCAAGAAATTCGGTGGAAAATTCGAAACTTGGAATCTCCCTCTCCCCCCATGGCTTCTCCTTCCCTCTCCTTCAAAGCGTGTCAATAGAGAGAGACGAGCAGAGAGCGGAGAGTTCTCGTTTTGTTGCGAAAAAAGAGAGAAAAAAAAAAAGAAAAGTAACTCGGAATGGAATGAAAACGAAAATGAAAGAATGAAAGAAGTTCGGAAGGAAGCGGGATAAGATTGGGCTGGCACAAGGAGGATTGAAGTACGAGAGGAAAGATGTTTACAATTATCACCTTCCGTGAAGATGGATCGGCGATGGTAAACTGGAGGTAAAAGGAAAAGGGAGATGGGACGGTGGTGGCGGATCAAAGGGTGAGGAAGAGAGAGAGAGAGAGAGAGAGAGAGGGACGGGGAAGGGGGGCGTTCCGTGATCGTCGGGACCGAGGCAGGCCCGTGCCTATAATTAGTAATATACCGCAGTCTATATCGACACGGGTGAAATTACCACCGATAGTAATTATTTGACAATTGCAGAGACATCCTGTTGCGAGACTCGGGATCGGGACCTTCGTCCCCGTTCC